TATTATTACGAAGAGTCAAGTGGGTGGGTACCCAATAGGGCTCCTGATTCACGAAATCCCGCAACGTTCTCAGCCCCATACCCGGCCATCAATTCCCGAATCCCGCTAATATCGATTTCCGAATCCCACTACTATCGACTTCCGAATCTCTCTACTATCGATTTCCGAATCTGGCTACTATCGATTCCCGAATCTCGCTACTATTGATTTCCGAATCTCGCTACTATCGATTTCCGAATCTCGCTACTATCGATTTCCGAATCTGGCTACTATCGATTTCCGAATCCCACTACTATTGATTTCCGAATCTCGCTACTATTGCTTTCCAAATCTCGCTACTATCGATTTCCGAATCTCGCTAATATCGAATTCCGAATTCCGCTACTATCAATTCCCGAATCTCGCTACTATCAATTCCTGAATCCAGCTACTATCGCTTTCCGAATCTCGCTACTATCAATTCCCGAATCTGGCTACTATCAATTCCCGAATCTCGCTACTATCGATTTCCGAATCCCGCGTCTTTCGATTTCCGAATCTCGCTACTATTGCTTTCCGAATCTCGCTACTATCGATTTCCGAATCTCGCTATTATCGATTTCCGAATCTCGCTTCTATCGATTTCCGAATTCCGCTACTATCAATTCCCGAATCTCGCTACTATCGATTTCCGAATCCAGCTACTATCGCTTTCCGAATCTCGCTACTATCAATTCCCGAATCTCGCTACTATCGATTTTCGAATCTCGCTACTATCGATTTCCGCATCTCGCTACTATCGATTTCCGAATCCCGCTACTATCGATTTCCGTATCCCACTACTATCCATTCCCGAATCTCGCTACTATCGATTTCCGAATCCAGCTACTATCGCTTTCCGAATCCCGCTACTATCGATTTCCGAATCTGGCTACTATCGATTTCCGAATCCCGCTACTATCGATTTCCGAATCTCGCTACTATTGCTTTCCGAATCTCGCTACTATCGATTTCCGAATCTCGCTACTATCGATTTCCGAATCTCGCTACTATCGATTTCCGAATCCCCCTACCATCGATTTCCGAATCTCGAATATTTTTATTTATTTATTTTCGGTGTTCATTCATCACTTAATCTGGCCGGAAACCTTTTTTATAATCGGCAAAACATGCGATGATACATTTCAATCACTGGCTGGTAGACTCAGAGCACGAGATAAAAGTTTGATTGCGACAGAAATTACTGCGGATGAGTACATTGACAATAACGAACATTTTCATGAGTACATTTTCGATTAGAGAGAGTATATGCTCATAAATATATTCATAAAGTATTCTTATTTCTTTTAAAATCTGATACTTTTTCAGCAGGGGCGGATCCAGAGCAAATTTGAAGGAGGGGCAGTACGTAGTGGGGGCGCATTCGATACCTTCATTAAAAATTTTCAGAAATTGATGACGAGTGTTGGCTGCTTATTGGTGGCAATTTAAGACCCTGACTACTGACAAAAGGCTCTCTATTCACTTTGTAATTTTCACAATAATTGTTGCATACTCTGAGGTAATCCTTGAAGTAAATTAACCTTTATGTCATTCTTCGAAAGGGGCGCACAATTTCCAAAAAAGGGCGCCAGACTTGTTTCAAATCCTTGAATATAAATCAAAGCTCATAGCCAAGTGATGACGCCTTTAATTAATTTTCGATTTACTTTATTTAGATAAGAAACACCACAATACGACGAGAATGAACAACAATAAATTCACGTAAATTAGTGAAGGCTAATATTTCGCCCCGGCATACGGGGCTTCATAAGAGCAAAAGACTTTTGCTACAACAATCAATTCATCAGAGGAAAAGATGTTTTGCTCTGATAAAGCTCCGATTTTTCGCCGCAAGAACTCCTTGGAGTCCGTCGAGCAGATAGCCTGCGTCGCAGACCATATTCTGAAGGAGAATAAGGTCTGCGACGCAGGCTATACAAAGGCAAGAACACGGATACCTGCGATGTCTGCGACGCAGGCTATCGAGCAGACTGCTATCGCGACCTTTACTTTATCCCAACCTTTATCCACACAACTAGATTGTTATTGTTGCTGTTGTATTCAGAAGAAGTTCAATTCAATTCATTGTGGGCAAATAACACAAAAATTGCAAATGCAAAACATTGGACACACTGGCTTGATTGCACTTGACTTGGTGCTTGAAATTGAAGTGAACAAAAACAGAGTGAATTCTGGAAATATAAAAACTTCATTTGAAGAATATGACTCCTGAACATATTGAATCAGTGGTAGATGCCACCAGTGAAGGCGAAACATTTAACACAACTGTTCAACACAGTCGTGTAGAATCAGATGATTTTGTGCCAGTTCTGTACAAACGTAGATGGTTTGTTCTTGGTGGATATTGTCTGCTGAGTATATCTAGTCTTTCTGTTTGGTTTGCATTTTCGTCGATAAGTAACATAACTAGAAAGTACTACAACATTGACATGCTTCAAGTCTCTTGGATAGCCTCTGTATTTTCGATCATACCTATTGTATTCATGTTTCCATCGAATTACTTCTTGAAAAAGAAGGGTCTTGGTTTGACCATCATCCTGGCTGGTTTCTTGAACGCTTTTGGTAGCTGCATTCGATACATCGGCGTGTCTTCATCTTCGTATGGCTATCTTTTTTTGCTAGTCGGTGAGCTTTTAATTATTACATTTATGATATTTGTAATATTAAACAGTTAAACAGCAACATTTTTGTTTCTTGTCCATGTTCTTTTTTAGCATCATAGGAAACAGCACTTCATCCCACTGTTAATTTCTTGATGACACTATTGATAACAATTTGCATCTCAAAAACTTATTTTAATGCTTAAAATGACTCAATAAATGGTTGCCTTTTTTTGCTGAAGCAGCTCTCCCTTGTACAATCGTTTCACAAGTTTATGTTATTGAAACTGACCTGTAAGTTGTTATTCAGAAATTATAAGATATCACCTTTGTAAAATAAAGAAGTTCTTGATGATTATCTCTTATCTTTCAGGGAGTGTTTTCTGTGCAGTTTCCATCTCTGCATTTTTATTTCTACCTGCAAAGATAGCTGCTTTGTGGTTTGGGGAAAAGGAAAGAGCAACAGCAGTGTCAATAGCGATTTCAGCTGATTCAGTAGGTTTGGCTCTGGGCTACTTTATGCCAACAGCTATGGTTAAAAACAGATCTAACATATCAGAAATTGGCGATGATCTTGCAAACTACTTGCTGGCTGTTGCAATTTTAGCCACCTTGAGTTTTATTTATGTCACAATCACTGTCAGAGACAAACCAAAAACAGCTCCAAGTTTCAGTGAAGCACAAAAGGATGTACCAGCAAAGGATGTTTTAGAAATTATAGAAGAAAACAATCATGCAGAGGAATTGATCAGTGGCAATGAGCCTTTACCTCTCACGGAAATACCTAGCAATGCCCCAATTATTGTACATCAAACTGATAATGAATCTGTATTCAAAAGACTTTTAAAGAACATACACTTCCAAAAAATTCTGCACTTGCATGGTATCATATTTGGCTTAGAATCAGTTTATCTCATTGCTTTAAATGAAATGTTAATTCCTCAATTTCCAGGTCATGAGTTTGAAGTTGGACTAATGGGTGCTGTTAGTCTGTTGCTCAGTGTACCAAGCACTTATGTCATTGGGTTATTAATTGACAAAACAAGAGCATACAAGAAGATAACTATAGGAACAACTTGTTTACTTACTATCTTGACTTCCGTTCTTACTACTTTCTTCTATCTTAGGTTATCATTTTACAGTTTATTCTGTACTTACATGATGATAGTGATTGTCTTTGCTACATATTACACAACAGCCTTTGACCATACTGCTGAACTTACATATCCTGTTTCTGAGGCACATTCGGGAGTAGTTTTACTATGGTTTGCCCAGCTTTACAGCTTGGTTTTTGGCCGGACTGCCAGTTACATCCTAGTTCATTCAGGTGCTAATGTTTTAATGATTTTCATTTTAATCCTTAATTCATTCACATTTGTTATATCTCTTTTTGTTAAAGATAAAGGCCCAAGAGGTATCTTAAAAGCTATTGACATTCAGGTTTAACATCTCAACTAATTGACAAAGAGGCTTTATAATTCCGAATCAACAAAGAGAAAAATTGATCATTGAATCATTGAAAGTTCTTCAGAATAAAACTTGCTAATACTTTAATGCTGCCCAATAAACTGCTTTGAAATGCATAAATTATCTCACAAAATGTATAATGAATATGCTTTGGTGTATAGAAAAAAATAGTTCTAAGTTGCAACTGCACGTTTCACTTTTTATGTGATCATCAGACAACTTTCATCAGCAAACTGAGGCAAAAGATGGCAAAAGTTTCAATAAAATTCTATGTAGTGTTTGCCAAACATTTTTAAAAAGTCTGAAAAGCAGCTCTGAGACCTTTACTGATGTGTTCATTTGTTTAATGGTGGCTATTAAAATTAAAGCTTGGATTGAAATTTGATGTTGACATTTAATGTCACATTTTAGGTCTATATATGTTCAGTATGACTGATTTGTTACTGATTCCAACTGAGTTTTCTCAGTATAAATGAAATACATTTTATAGAAAATTGTGGTATTGAAATTCATTATGGTAGAAGATTGACTATTGTAAAACTCATTCACTCAGTTGAAAATGTTGTCAATTATTCTGTTGAGTTTTATTCAAATGTTATCAATTGACACTTCTTTCTTTGTATGAATCCTGTAGTACCTTACTTGCACAGTTGTTTTAAAACAAATCAATAGTCAAGAGATTGTCTAAGAACCTCGACTGATATTTATTGAACAGCAGATACGGATTTGGTCAACAATAATTTGGGGGGGGGGGGGGTTAGATACTAATTGGATTTTGGTACTACACCCATCAGGTTACTGGAAAATGATGGAAATGCCGATTTTGAAAATTCGGTTTTTAACTTTAAGGTGAAAAGATAAGAAGATAAATAATTTAAAATCGTGGCGTTGTTCTGTTACTACTGACTACAAAAATATGATTTTTACCGAATGGCAGCAAAATTTACCGAAGGACACAGAAATATTACGGGGCTGTCGAACCCCCTACACCCCCCTCGCCGCTAAATCCGTCACTGTTAAAGTGGCAAAAAAAGGAACCAGCTTTAAAGATATTACCTATAGTGAACATAAAACTGTCTCACAAATTGGCTATTTTGCAGTTGTTTAGTAGTTTCGACGTAGTTTCACGGTGGTTGTACGGTAGTTGTAGATTTACTGGATTTTCTCCGTAATCTTTCAGTATTTCTTCAAGGCGTGTTTGAGGTTCCCTTCCGAAAGGCTTTCACTGCCAGTAACTTAAAGCCAAAAATCCACATTGTCTGGGATCAACGAACCGCAGCGAGATTCTAGCCCTCTTTTGTTTTTCAATTTTCACTTGAGACATCTTACATAATAAATACCGCACGAATATGCAAGGCTCTTTGTTATGCATATATTTTACCAAATCTTACCAATCAAGGTTCAAGTTTTCGCATATTTGTGCGGCACGAATAGTCTGTAGAAACTTTGCTAAGCTACGCACAACTGCTATGCCCGCACAATTGCTGGCAGCGAAGAAAGTTGGATGATGTTGGATCAGTGGCGTAACGGAGCAGTGTGGGGCCCTTAGTGAAAGTCGTGTTTTGGGGCCCCCATACTTAACTAAGGTTGAGTCAAATTTTAGAGCCTAATCACTCACTCTTTGGGGTTTTCCCGAAAAACCCAGCATAGATAATATAGAACAATATATTTCTATGCTCTCTAATGGTGGCACATAAAATGAAATAACAACTCCTCTCCTTCCGTAATACTTTGAATGTGAAACTTCATATCAAAATATCAAACAAGTCTGTGTTGGTGTGAATAATAAATGTTTCCTTATGCTGCCTTCACACTGGCACAGTTAAACCAGCTACATTTATACTAGGTTTTTTTTCAACCAATCAAACGAGTCCGATTTGTTGGATAGACCAATTAGAAGGCCCCATTCAATAATCTGACTTATTTTAAGCTGATTTAACTCGCAAAAGTGAATCGGCATTAGACTTTGATAGATAATGTCAAAATTTGAATAACTTGACTGCTTTTCTGCAACAAATTCCAACATAACTTTAAACTTCCTGTCCTTATGTGGTTCTTATAATGAAGCATATTATAAGAACTAGATGAAGAAACGTAATCAATGCAATTTCCGTAAAATTATGCTAAAGTTTGTTCACAAGTGCTTAAAAAACGTCATGAATATGATTTTATTTGAAATGTTATCAGAAAAAAGAACTTTCAAGCTCTATATGCCAATTCTTTTATGCCTTCGAGCATTGACATGTGCGAATCGCTCAATGAGCTCAGTCTTATCAATTGATTTGGCTTCTGAATTTTCTATGGACAGTATTACCAAGTTATCGAGTCTTTCTTGAGATATCTTTGACCTTAAGTACGTTTTAATCAATATAGGTTTTGAAAATGATCTCTCAATTGGGGGTAAATAACCCTGAAAAGGTCTGTTACCAAACTTTGCCCATTAAATCGCAATTGAAGAGCTGTATCGACTGTTTTGTAGAAAACCTTGACCTTAAGCCATTTTTCTGGATCACTTAACGCATCATCTCAAGATAGTTCATCAAAGAAACACTTGACTTTGCGGGTAAATTCAAGGGATGAGCACCAAGAACTGGCAAGTGCAGAAGCTGTCATCCTCACTGACTCCGAAGAGTTCCGAAGTAGCTCTTTGTCTGAAATTGGGCAGTTTAGAAGCCCAGACGCAACTGAAAGATCCAAGTTAGGCAACTGAAATTCGTTTGATGTATAATTTATAGCACGCAGTAATCTTTCCCACATGACTATAAACAGGACAAATTCGAAACTATCCATCTTTTCTTTAAGGCCTTTTGCACCAGCTCTTTCCTTTTTCTTTTCTGACGTGAGAATTAAGCGAGTTGAAACTTTCATTTTGTGGGGGTATTATGTGGGGAAGCCTAATTGACATGCATATGCATTATCTTATATCATTGTTGTATTTGCTCACAAATCATATCCCGTCCTGCGCCCACTTTAATGTTGCTGTGAATGCTATTAAGAAAGATTTGTTTTTATCCAAAAACCCGCTTTTTTCGAAAAATCTTATGGCGGCCCTTAGTTTTGTGTTTAAAGGTGCACACCGTGCGTTACGCCACTGTGTTGGAAGTTGTGAACATAGTATTTCCTTTCTCTATACGAATGAGGCACACAAAGATATTTGCAACTGCGTGTTGGATTTGCTGGAGGATTTGGAAAACCTTAGAAAGGCGGAAATTTTTTGATGAAATGAACAATTTGAACGTTTCAGAGCTGGCTAAAAATTGAGAAATTTCCCCAGTCCTGGTGGCACCCTCAGAATTACTGCAAGACCTTCGAACTCACCTTCGAAGTTCGAACCTCGTTGGTGTCTCCTTCCATTGATCAAAGTGTATCAGGCTTGCTTAGGGGTAGACTTAGGTTAGAGTTACACTATACCGGATTGCTATCGGAGCGGAGTAACTTTTATTCCGGAGTGTTATTTAGGGTAGCAGTTACACTACGACACTCCGCTCGCTCATAAGCCTGTATTCCTTTGCATTTCTGGTACAAAAAATCCACCAGATTAAATTTTTTGATGATATTTTCGAATCTATGTGCTGTTGCGAATTCGTTTTCAATAGCCATAATAACGAAAACAACCATTATATTAAGAGATAAATTATGGGGTTCGTAGGACGGATAGCGATATTGTGTTGCTATCTGATGTTTTGAAGTATGTTTTTCGCCCAAGGGCCACTTCATTAAAATTTGGGAAGAGATGAAATCCAAATACAAAAATGTTTTGATGATTTCGATTTTGCATTATCCAACAGCAACAAAATCTCAGAAAGCGCCATTGTTCACTATCGATCGAATTGCGTCAAGCAGAAAACAATAAGAAAATCCTTTGTTTTAAAGTGGAGCATATCGGATTCGCGTGATTACACTACAACGCTCCGCTACGGAGTGACTCCGGAGTGATTTCCGTATCACCTCCAGAGCGGAGTGATTTTCACTCCGCTAATCAGAGCGTTGTGTATCTGATTGGTGTGGCGTAGTGTAACTCAAACCCCTATCCGATATCAAAGTTAATCCGCTCCGATAGCAATCCGGTATAGTGTAACTGGCACCTTACTCCATGAGCCTCTGTTTCGCTACTGTCTCTGTTGTAGCGTCCGTCAAGTGAGGCAGTAACGAAACAGAGGCTCATGGAGTAAGTCTAGCTTAGGGGGGCAAATCGCAATTCGAACGTAAACGCTTACCAGACATTAATATGCTTTTGTTGAGCAAGGTGAAATTATGTTTTAATTCATAATGGTTGAAATAATCGACCTGGTAAACTTCAGGGCTCTTGGCCTTTAAAATTAGACCTAGGCTCTCTAGTTCCCGAGGACTGGGTCCCAATAATGGCTCCACCCTTGACCATGAGGGAGACCCCCTAAACCGTCTGTAAATAACAAGAAAATTTTTTTCTTCAGAGTATAGTCGGCAAGACTCTCCTACTGTGTAAGATAATGATGTGATAAGGCCATATGAAATTAATTAGTTTATTCTCATCTGCGCCTGTATCACATTTCGGCGCCGCCTTGATCTTTTTACATTTTATATGTTCATATAAAAGTCTCGCCTGTCTTAGTTTTATGGAAAGTTAAAACATTTAGCATTGCCTTCTTTTAAAAATTTAAATAATCCAACCTCCCCAAATTTGTCATTTTACAACATAAAACAATACGTAAGGCAAAGGATATCTCTCAGGGAGTTGAGGAACATTTTTGTTCTGTTCTTACGCAAAAGGCCAGCCAAAGACTGAAAATGGCATAGTCAACAGCAACGAAAAAGTTTAAATTTGTGTATTTTTAAATTTATGATTTGCCAGCTTTGTTTTGTAAGAGCGATTTGGTCTGCAATGACTAGCCTGAGTTCCAACTACACGATTGGTATATAAAATAATATATAATAGTAATAAATAATTTATTTACTGTACAGTTGGCGTATTAGATGAAAGTCTAATAGCTGTAAAGAAGCTAATTAAGGCCAACTATCTATGAAGAATTAGTATAAAATGAATATATGGTACAATGCTAAAACATGTTTAGGGTATAATATTCTAAATAAAACCCAACCCAGCAATAAATTTTTTACATAATCTGCAGTCGCATTCTACAGGGTGTGCACTTAATGCTTTTTTAAATGTTGCCAATGATTGGGACTCTGAGGTACTGTTTGCCACAGCTATTCACCTGAATATCTCACAGTTTATATAACATAAGAAGTTGACCTGGCTTTTGGAATGGCATTATTATTTTTATTTCGCAAATCATAATGTACTTTTCTTGCTTCAAAAACCTCACTCATGAACATAGGATTCAGGTTATGTTTGGTTTTGTATATTTCCATCATCAAGTACTGTAGATTGCGTTGGTGAATGAATACAGCATTATAAAAATGTCAGCCATGTTTCGTAGTCGGCATGACTATCTTTATAAACAATTCTGAGTGCTCTTTCGTGGATTTTATTCATTTTAGCATTGAGACATCTAAACTGAGCTTTTATGAAACTGTTCATTAGGAGGGGCAGTTTATCAGAACCCATAAGTGGCAATACTCTAGGAAGGGCATGCAGTTTTTCGCTGGCTCTTTTGCATAAATT